TAAACAACTTGTTTTAGAGACAAACCCAGTAGGGAGTTTAGAATATGTGTGCTCCTGGCACAAGTAGCTAATTTTGTTTTCCAATTTACATCAGGAAGATTAAAGTCACCCATGATGATAACTTCCCCCTTCATTGTCATTTTAGCTATTTCCTCAACTAGTAGATTATCTAACTCTTCAATTTGTCCTGGGGGCCTATAAATCACACCTACACAAGTTACTGTGTGATTACCAAATTCTAACGTAGCCCAAACCGACTCTATGTTTGCCTCACTAACTTTTATTAGGCCAGTTGGAATGTGACCACAAAACACACAAAAGTCCCTGAATACATGAACTGTTCTAATGAGAAATACTGAAGCGGAGAGTGATGGGAGTAGGTTAAATAATACATTCAGAGCAGGATACTGTGACAAGTGACCACAAAACACACAAAGGTCCCTGCACACATATTTTGTTTTACAAAATCCTACATTCTTGTTTGCTCAAATTATTTCATTAATCCCTGTCTCCATGCATAAGTTCTATGAGACTGTCCTGAAAATGCCAGGCACACAGACCAGCCATAGGCTACAAAAAACGAGCTCCAGTGACTGTCCGTCTGTGTCAAGATTCACAGGTGTTATAGGTTTGTCGTGTCTAATGCTATATTAAGCTCCAAAACACATCCTCACATGAACACAATATCATTGGTTAATCTAATAAAAGACTTTTTGAGTTGTCCATTATTATAAGGGTGGGTACAGGCCAGGGCCGTCTTTAATATTGATTGGACCCTGGGCAAAACATTTGCTTGGGCCCCCTGGACCATGTACACCCTCCCCAGGCGTGCAAACACGTTATCACCCTTAACGCAGTGGCTACCTAAAGTAGAGAGGTGCAAGAATTTTTTTTTGGGCCTCCCTATTGCAAGGATGTTTAAAAGGTAGATCCCCATCTGTTGTGCAACTCCAGCAATGCCTTGACAGCTGGGGCTCTACCATTTATCCATATTTGCAGGTTTGTATTTAGCACTAAGCTGTTTTTGTGTGTTTCAATGTAAACAGGTTTTTGTATGGAATATGTTTGTATGTGGCATTGGCGTTTGAATGTAAGCATGTATTTATGTGTAGTGTTGGTTTTTGAATGCAGGGGTGTGTATACATATAATGTTGGTGTTTAACACAGACGTGTATTTGTATGTTGTGCTGAAGCTTGAATGCAGGGGTGTATTTGTGTGTAGTGTTAGCGTGTGAATGTTGAGATGTATGCACATATACACACACAAACACACAGGTAGATATGCACACAACCTGACACAAATACACACCCTGACACACATACTAATAACATAACATACAGATACACTGAAACACACAAAGACAACGTACAGATACACACTGACACACCGATACACATCCTGACATACACAAAGATACAAACACTGACACACATGCAGTTACACAGACACACATATACACACCTGACACACTTGCAGATACACACACACAGACTTCATACAGATACACACATATATACACACTGACAAACACACAGATACAAAAAATGACAACATAGATACACACACAGATAGACAGACAAACTGACACACAAACATACACTGATAGACATACTTACACAGACACAAACTGACAGACATACTGACACATAGACAGACAGATATATACTGAGACACACACAGACATACTGACACACTGACAGACATGCTGACACATTCACCAACACACACACCGACACACAGACACAAAGAGTCAAACTGATACAGACATGCACACACCGACATACATATGGACACACAGAGACACATACACTAACAGACATGCTGACACACACACATATACTGACAGACATATTGACACACATTCACAGACACACACACAGGCATACTGACACACACACGCACTGACAGACATACTGACACATACACTGACAGACATACTGACACATACACTGACAGACATACTAACACACACACGCACTGACAGACATACTGACACACACACTGACAGACATACTGACACACACTGACAGACATACTGACACACGCACTGACAGACATACTGACACACGCACTGACACACGCACTGACAGACATACTGACACACGCACTGACAGACATACTGACACATTCACAGATACACATGCAAAATTTACACTATTAAACCCACCCTTTCTACGTTGGAGGGTGACTTTCCTACCAGTGGCTGAAGCTGCTGGGAGTTGGGGTCTGGCTAGCTCGGCCCAGACCCCCACCGCTCTGCCTCTTCCTCCTCCCGCGCGCTCCTCTCTCTATGGGAGGAAGTGACGTGCAGCCGTCACTTCCTCCTAGCCGGCTGCCGAAAAGCAAGAGGGCCTGGTCGCGCTCTTAAAGCGCCAGAGCGCAAGACCGGGCCCCTGCTGACAGAAGCCCACCGGGTGCGTGGCTGTACCGGCAGTTGGGAAAAATGCTTGAGGTCAGCGGGGCCCACGGTGCAGCTGCTTCGGGCCCCCAAGAGTAACTGGGCCCGGGGCAGCTGCCCCGTTTGCCCCGCGGTAAAGACGGCCCTGGTACAGGCCTGGACTGGCCATCGGGCACACCGGGCAAATGCCCAGCGGGTCGCCGTGGCCATGGGCCAAGACCGGCAGGGAAGATCACAGGATCTCACCTGCCAGCCCCTACAGGGGCAGCGCTATCTGTGCGCCGGCCCCGCTGTTTTCAATGACGGGCCGGGGAGGAGATCAAAGCTCTCCCTCACCGGCACATTTGCGCAGTCATGCGGCTGGGGAGGGAGAGGAGGATCCGGCGGAGCTCTAACTTAAAGCTCCATCGGGTTCCTCTCGCAAGATCCGCAGCGTTGCCATGGCAACTCCCTCGATCTCGCAAGAGTGAACTCTAGTGCCGGTCCTCTCGCCCCCTCTCTTTCAGGTACCACAGTGCCGGTCCCCTCCTCTCAGGCTAAAAGGTAAGTAGGGAGGGGGGATATAATGCCTGCTTAGTTTTTTTAATTTGGTTTTTTACCCCTCCCCCCAACACACAATCCCTTCTAGCATACACACTCAGCACTCTCACACAACACACTCAGCACTCTCACACACAACACTTTCACACACAACACACAGCACCCTCACACACAACACTCTCACACACAACACTATCATACACAGCACCCATACACAGCACCCATACACAGCACCCTCACACACATCAAACACAGGACCCTCACACACCCCACCCACACACAAATCACACACAGCACCCTCACACACAACATACACAGCACCCTCACACACAGCACCCTCACACAAAGCACCCTCACACAAATAACACACACAGCACCCTCATACACCGCACCCACACACAGCACCCACACACACAAATCACACACAGCACCCTCACACACAGCAGCCTCACACACAGCAGCCTCACACACAGCAGCCTCACACACTGCACCCCTTAAACACCCACTGTACCCTTCGCATACACACAGAACCCCCCAACACACTGCACCACACACATACACAATACTTCCAAACATATTTATATAATATATATATAAACATACAGCACCCCTCATATTCACTGCACCCCTCACACACATAATGCACTCCTAAACACATTACATTCCGGACGCACACTAGATCCCTTACCCAACTCTGGATCATCTACACACATACACACACTAGATCCCTATATACACTCTGAATCCGTTATATATGCACACTCACTAGATCTCCTATACACATTCTGGGTCCTTCAAACACACACTAGACTCATATATATATATATATATATATATATATATATATACAGAAAAATAAATAAGCAAGGCACTCCTCCTAAAGCTTACTTAAGCAGATTCAAAAATTGCCTAGGTGCAACCTAGGCAATTTTTGAATCTGCTTAAGTAAGCTCTAGGAGGAGTGCCTTGCTTATTTATTTTTCTGTGTATTTGGAAAGTGCTAGCGTGGCACTTGCACGAGCACCCCCATACTATATAAAAGGCTTATCGCCTAAACAGTGATTTTCAGCGCCATCAGGATCCATTTACTATGGAGGATTTCCTAAACCAAGCTGGAGCATTAGCAGAAACAGCAGAAACTTTGTCTATTTCGGAGGAACAAGCACTCTCGGTATTATGGCCACGTAGCTCGCAAGATCTACCCCATATACACACAGCAAAAGACCTGTATAACGATCTATCTAGATTGAAAAAAAGAGAAGTGGATTTGGACTTGCACGGTGTTTTTCTGTCCGACTACTACAGATCCAAACGAATACCAAGGGGCTTTCGCATAAAAAATGCGCCAACTATAGGAAGACAGAATCCTAATTTCTGTAAGAAATGGATGAATATTTCAAATAAATGCTCCTTAGACTGGATGGTAATAGTAATTGAAGAGGTTGGGACAGAACTACTCCAAGTTAAAAAATCAATACAGGAGTTTGAACTGACCCATGTTACTGCCTTACAAGCTACGCCATCTACTGAATTTATGCTGAAACTTCAGGATGAAATACAGAAATATCAAAATGAATTAATCCGCTTTAAAAAAGTCAAGGTTGAAAAGGTAAATCATGATTACAAATTTCATCAGGTTTACCGCTGGTTAAGTGGATCAGATACACGTGGCCCTGTTCCTAGGTTTAGGACACGTATAAGAAAGCCTGCTTTACAAACAGTGGACATTAGTTCAGGTGAATCAGCCTCAGACGGGGAAAAGAGGGCTGAGTCTCAAGCGGAAAAACTGGTTCCTTTTTTACAGGATGGAGTACATCCAAACGATCCGCCACGTTCAACCAATATCAGCGAACAAAATCGAAGAGACATAAGAGACATAAGAGACACCTTAGACGTGGACAAAAGGGTCACAAGAAATATAGGAGCCATGGGAAAACCTCCCAGACAACGGAGATAACATCTATATTTAACCTCTCAAATAAGATTTTGGACCATAACCACATTTCGCTCCTACAAAAAGGACTTACGTTTATACCTGTCGCTAAACCTAGGAAATTTGATATGGCCATTGATCTGTATAAACTACAAAGAACGTTATACAGTAATGAAGTAAGGAAGGATGACAATCCCACCAAGGCATATATTTTTCCGAATCGCAATAAAAAAGATATTTTCACACCTAACCCTTCGATTAGGACCTTCATGCAGGTCTTACAACATGAGATAAGCCCCATTGTGACAACACCACCTGACCACAGAGATAATCTATTTAAAGATGAACATGCAGCACTAAAGGATTTGATTCAAGATCCCACCATCATAATTCGGCCAGCCGACAAGGGCGGTGCCATTGTCATACAAACATATGAGGATTATAGGAAAGAAATCATGCGTCAGCTGTATGATACCTCTACGTATCTAAAACTCACCTTTGACCCAGTTGCAAAATTTCAGAAGAAGATTGAAAAACTTATTGATGAAGGACTATCGCATCGGTACCTTGATGAAAACACTGCTAAATTTCTATTTTTAAGTACCCCAAACACCCGGTTATGTACACGTTACCAAAAATACATAAGGACCTAGAACGACCACCAGGTCATCCAATTGTGTCCGCAAAAGGTGGATTAATTGAGCCGATAGCCCAATGTATTGACCACTATATTAATAGCAGTGTAAGAAAACTACCAACATGTTTAAACGATACACAACATTTCATCAGTCAGATACAGAACATTGACCTCATGGATAAAGAAATTATTTTGGCTACCATGGACGTCCAAAGCCTTTATACTATAATACCTAAGAAAGAAGGCATTGAAGCCATTGCTGAGATCTTGGCTAATGATGATATGTACAAGGGTCCCTACATCCCATATCTTATGGAATGGTTGGATATTGCTCTATCGTGTAATTACTTTAAATTTGAGGATACATTCTACTTACAAACTTCCGGGACTGCCATGGGTGCAGCCATGGCACCAGCCTATGCCAATGGCTTCATGTACTGGTTTGAACAGAAATATATTTTACATGCATATCAATCACACATAATAAAATATGCTAGATTTGTGGATGACATCTTCATAATATGGGAAGGCACTATAACAACTCTTGAAAATATGGTTTAGCAGATCAATATTTTACCAATTCCAGTAAGGCTAACACTCAATTGGAATAAGCATAGTTTTGAATTTCTTGATGTCAAGCTGTACAGAGACGAAAACCACCTGGGCTTTACTCTGTTTAGAAAAACTACAGATCAGAACACTTTATTATCTGCGACCAGTTTTCACCCTCAACATGTTAAGGACTCACTACCTATCTCACAATTCCTTCGGGTTATGAGATATAACAGCAACCCAGTCAACCGCGAACACCAGCTTCAAGAGGTCTGGGATCGTTTTCTGGCAAGAGGCTTTCACCCTAGGACTCTTGAAAAAGCTAAAAAGAATGCTTGGAATAAATTCAATCAAACCAATACTATGAATCCCAAGAAAAAGAATAATATCTTTCTTCCACTTACGTTCAACACGGCAACTCCGTTCCTTTAAAAAATGTATATACAAACATTGGAACATGTTCCAGGTAGATCAGAATCTTTCTGATAGATTTAAAACCAATCCTATCATCAGTTACAGACGTAATCGCAACCTTAGGGATCTACTGGTGAAAAATGATCCTCGACAGTGCTATGCTAAGATGCCCAAAATCCAGAAAAAGGGTTGTTACAAATGCAGTGGCTGCGTCACATGCAGCCATATGCTAACCGGAGCTACATTTGTTCATCCACATAGTGGGAAGAGAATCCCTATTAACCATTACATTTCATGTATGACCACACATGTGGTATACATGATCACATGTCCGTGTGGACTGTCTTACGTCGGGAAGACTGACATGACTCTAAGGGATCGGATTAGGGGACATCGGTCTGGGATTACAACAGCCTTCAGAGACCAAAGAACTGATAAACCAGTGGCTAAACATTTTTTAATAGCACAACACCATTTGCCTACTCTTCGCTTCACAGCTATTGACCATGTCCCAGTTCCACCAAGAGGAGGGGACAGATCTAAGCTATTACTTCAACGCGAAGCCTACTGGATCTACCATCTAGATACACTGACTCCAAAAGGACTTAATGAACACTTGACTCTTTCGATGTTCCTCTAAAATTATCTCTTTAAATATCTTTATGATATTTTTGTGACTTAAACCTCCCTTCCTTTATATAGGATTCATTATTAATGGCAGTCTGCCATTTATATTGCAGTATATTTTGTGCTATTACAATCTGAATAGGCAGTTTCTATTCTCTATCTTTTGGTCTGTTTCTGCAAAATACTATATATGTTGTTTGACCACTAAATATAGCTCTGAGCTCACACCAGGATAATTTTATAGTTAACATGTAAAGTTTGGTTAAGACACTTAGATATTGCATCTAGTAGTATGAAGATTAATTCTATAACTATGGCGTAGTGTCCTCTGTCTATATTGGTCAATAATATTTAACTGATATTACTAGTCATGATGCTTATTCTTTAATTACAAGGATTACAGTATAGATTTATACATTATCTTTTTATTCCCTAATAGTGTTATATATAACTATTGGATGAACAATATTATAAGATATATAGCTTTGTTTAAAGTTAATTGTACCACACCTCAGAGATTTATCGATCTGTTCTGTATTTGCTATATATTGTTCACATTTTTCTACACTTATAGATCTTTTGTTCACTCTCACTACACTTAGTTCACTATCAGATCGATTCTATCTTGGTGATCATAGTTAGTATTTCCTCCATAATTAGCATGCATCTCTTTGACTCTGTTTCTAAGTGTGAATGGAGTTGATGCTTTGTTTCTAAGGTTGCTTAGCAACCCGGTCACATGCACGTTCACGTACGTCACATGCACGCTCCCACGTGGATCTCTCACTTCCGGGTTCCTCAGCCCGCCGGCTGTCTGATCATCTCATTGGTAAGCTTTATTTCACCTATATGTATATATTGTTGTAGACATTAATGTATCACTGTGATCTTGATAAAGACCCCAGGAGGGTCGAAACGTCGATTTTCTGTACTCTGCACAGGACATGTATTATTTTATAATACAGTAAATACTATTTTTTTCCACTCGGAAGTAGTCCTAGTGTGCTCCCTTTATTCTCTACTATATATATATATATATATATATATATACACACACCCTCACACACAGCACTCTCACACACATCATACACAGCACCCACACACAGCACCCTTACACGAATCACACACAGCACCCACACACAGTACCCTCACACAAATCACACAGCACCCTCACACACAGCACCCTCACACACAGCACTCACACACACACAGCACCCACACACAGCACCCTCACACACCACACACACAAATCACACACAGCACCCTCACACACATCATATACAGCACCCTCACACACAGCACCCACACACCGCACCTTCACACAAATCACACAGCACCCTCACACACAGCACCCACACACACAGCACCCTCACACACAGCAGCCTCACACACAGCAGCCTCACACACACTGCACCCCTTAAACACCCACTGTACCCTTCACATACACACAGAACCCCCCAACACACTGCACCACACACATACACAATACTTCCAAACATATTTATATAATATATATATAAACATACAGCACGCCTCATATTCACTGCACCCCTCACACACATAATGCACCCCTAAACACATTACATTCCGGACACACACTAGATCCCTTACCCAACTCTGGATCATCTACACACATACACACACTAGATCCCTATATACACTCTGAATCCGTTATATATGCACACTCACTAGATCTCCTATACATATTCTGGGTCCTTCAAACACACACTAGACTCATATATATATATATATATATATATATATATATACATATACACACACCCTCACATACAGCACCCTCACACACAGCACTCTCACACAAATCACACACAGCACCCTCACACAAATCACACAGCACCCTCACACAATACTCACACACATCATACACAGCACCCTCACACCGCACGCACACACACACACATCCCTTTTTGAAGGCGGCCAAAGAAGCGGGCTGCCCCCTGCACCAGCCGCTTGCTGAAAGGGAAACGCCTTCTGCGCCATCATCAGCTTCATCCAGAGAGGCACTTCATTCCCGGGTTCGCAGGGAGACGCAGCAGGAATTGCTCGTCATACTTCCACCACGCGAGCCTCCCATATGCCAACCAAGTAACAAAATAAGGAGCACAACCCTGGCGATTTTTCCCCTATCACGCTGGCAAGAATGCAAAATGCCTGCAGGGAGTTCCCAAATGACTTCGGAACCTTCCGGTAACGCTAGCACTTCTCCTCCTCCTCCTTCTTGTCGTCCTTTTTATCCTCCTCCTTCATGTCGATAAATTCCTTCAAGGGCAGGAGCGAAAAGACCTCACAAAACTCACCCTTCTATATCTTCTCTTTTACCTCTTGCTTTAAATGAACCCCCTACGGCCCATGATGGAAACGTGCGCATTCTGACAAGCCGCATCCTGGACATCGCCCTCCAACTCCACCCTCTCTGCCCCCAAGTCCGACACCGCCATCGCAGAAGCCATGTTTTTTCCTGACAAAAGCGCTAGCACCCACCGTGTCCACTCCCCCGAAGCCTCCTTCCCTGAGCCCAAACCTGACCTATGTCAGCCCCATGTTGCCACTTTCTACCCCAGGAGTCAATCAGGTGTTGCAATGAGTATAAAACATTTTGTGAATACAATGCTTCCTCCGACTCACCGCCCAAGCCCCTTGCCATTGATGGCCGCCAGGCATCTACCGTAGATCCATCCACTCCAGGATGCTGCATCTGCCAATCCAGCATCAACCAGGGAAACCACCCAATGCAGGAAATGTCTCAACAAAGAACGGCTCCTGGACATGAAAACAGGAGAAGAAGTCCTCTGCCGTGTGACCGCCTGCCACCACCCCGCTGTAGAAGCCCCGCTGACCCTACCCCTGGGGCTACGGCTCCTGCCTACTGTCCCTGGGGACCTGCCGCACAACTCCCCACTGGCCAGCCGGCCCCAGTCCCGAGCCCCCCTGGTCTCCAGCTACATCACAGCTGCAAGTGCGGCTACGCATCGCTGTCTCCGAGGCCGGCCTCCACCAAACTCCCTGCCCAGACTCAGACATTGAGGGAGTCTCCTGCACCTCGCTCCGGCCGCCGCCATGCGCAGGCCCAGCCGTTGCCAGCACCGATTGGAGCTGTTGCGCCGTCTTGGCAGCCTCACTGATCCATGTCAGCAGCTGCTCCACCGCCTCCATCCTGAAAAACAAAGCAGAAACCCACTAGGCCCAAAGACTGGACACCAGAGTGCACACAAATTCAGTGAGTAAATTAAACCGACGGAATAAAAAATGGCTTCCTATTTATACTGTATCAGCCCACTATTTAATTTGTCCAATTACAACACACTTTCCACCTAAGCCCATCTCCTAGTTCTGTCAAGGCCCTTATCCACTAAGCTGCGCTTGTTTCTTGGGGCTACATGACACACATACACAGAAACACAG